TTTACCCTATCTTGCCTGCTGCGGAAGGAAATATGCTTTTTATCGATTCTTTTGAGTCTTTATTAGAGGATGTTCCAGATAAAAAATTCGTACCTGCTCCAGGCTGCAGCTTGCTTTTTTGCCACTGCTTTTTGATAATTAATAATATTCCTTAGGTTTCCTGTTGTGTTCTGCAGTGCACAGACTACGTTTTTGTAGAAGATAAAGTAGAATGAAACAATTTCGAAATTTAATGTTTTTTGAGATACAGTTTGTTCTATAGTTTGTTCATTTCGGGTCAATTGCTGTACTGTTCAGTGGCATAACCTTTCTGACTTTTCTTCAGTACTGAGGTATTAATAATTGCGCTTTATCATGACCCCGCGTTTTTTGTTTTTGCATTCAATGGAAATACCACAGGGATTCCGACTTATTCCTTTATTTTTTGTCAAGTTATGTATTAGCTTATGTTGGGTTGTTAATGAAGTAACAGTCTATACAAAATATTAATTTTGAGAGAATGATGGTGCTTTTAAAAAAATTTTTACAAACAGACCATTTACAGAAATAGGGGAGTTTTAAATTTTTTAGCGAATTGAATATCGTTATCTAATTGGCGGTCGCCTGTGAAGGTTGAGGAAGTTTTTACTTCAATTATCATGTCGTCATTAATCAACTGACGCAGCCTTTTTTCTTGTTTCAATTGTTAGGAGCCAGTGAAACTCGGTGTTTTTACAGGCAAAAGTAGAAAAAAATTCAGAAACAGCATAATGGTGATGTGAAGTTTAAATTTGAGGAAGTAATTTTCGTCAGTAATTTCGGATCCTACGCAATTGAGAGGTCCAGTTGCGATGTAGCGCCAGTGCTGATCAAACCGGTTGGTGCGTCATTTTGTGTCGTTTATAAAATACGATGACTAATGCTTAAATCAGTGTACTTTTGGCAGGTTTTTGTTGCAAATTACTTCATTTCAGAAGCAGTGTGAAGAAAGTGATCTCGAAGAAAATTGAAAAAAAAAAAAACAGAAATTTGCGCATAAATGTTCAATTTGGTTGTCGTTTTTTCAGATTACAACAATTGAAAATATATATTCTGTAGGGCACTAATGAAAATTTTTTAACCATTGTAATCAATCTATCTCGTATATCTAAGACGAGAAGTGATTTGCAGCTGAAGAACCGGAGGTGAGTAAAGCTGGTTTTTGTACAAAAGTGTATTTTTATAAGTTGTAAGTTTTAGAACCGTTGTGGCTTATTAAATACAGAGTAAGGCAATTTGGCCGCGACGATGCGTACCTTAACATTTGCAAAGTTTATTAATTTCTGGTTTTCGGGGATTATTTTCTAAACTTTTTGAATAAGAGTAGCCCCGTACTCAGTGAAGATACATTCCAGACAGTGTAGGTATTTGAGAACTCTAACGGTCTTCTAACTATACAGTTATAGTTTAAAGGTCGAAAAGCACAGGAACATGGAGAGTTGCGTTTGTTGTCGGACTGAAAATTTTTAAATTAAATTTTTTTTGGTAAAATGACAACAAACTGAAAGAAGCTTGCAAAAGAATCATGGGTTTCTCCTACTTAAATGATCTTGTTTCTGGTGGAACAAGGATAGGTAAGTCAGTTTTTCGATTTTGACAAGTTAAAATCAGAGTGGTTCGACCTTATGTGAAAATTGCTGCGAAATATCCTATGCAGTGGTGTAGAGACCAAGGTTCAATTGCAGCTGTTCAGATATGCTAATTTGATCAGTGGCTCACAGTTGGTTTTTCAAACTGGTTCTTTTTTCTGCTCTAATTTTCGTTTTTTTAGAAGCGATTAGGAAAGAGCTTGTGGTACTGTAACTATGATGCCTGCTCGTGCAAGAACAGAAACTAGAGCAGAAAAAAAACAGTTATCTTGAAAGTCTAATCTTGATCCTTAACGCAGCTGTTGTATTTGAGCAGCTTATTTTCAGTTTTTCCTGTGAACAGAAGCCGATGCTTTAGTGAATATCGTGGATGAAAGGAAAATCTTGCGGGACTGCAGTAGGCTTGCATGAGGAAAAAACTACGTCAGAAAAACAATGTGTGAACCAAAAAAGATGACAAGTTACCCCTAGTCAGACTAGCATAGTTTAACTGGTCATGCATTTCAATAACTGTAGGGCCTTCATGGAACGAACATCCTGAATGTGTGAAAGCTTTCCCGGAATCATCTCCGTCGCTTCATGTTCGGAGAGTTGGAATTGTTCCAGCAAATGAGCATTTCTTGTTGGCGAGGTTTCCAGGGATTTTTTGTGATGAAAAAGTATATACCACTATGTAATTTACACAGTTGCGAATTCTGAGGAAATTTGTCTGATTGTACGGTTTCGTTTTGGGTGCTTGAGGTATTTGGTAAGAGTGCTTTTTTATAGGGGCAGTCCGTTTGAAATCTATTGTTTTTTTAAATATGTTTTTTCTCGGTGATTTTTCTGCTGTTGTTTTGTAACTTGCTGCTGATGGATGCGGGTTCTTCTTGACTGGCATCGAAGCGTGCTTCGTTAATGTCTAAATTCATTGAATATAACGAAAAAAAACATATCATAATCTTAATACTCGGTCCCTCATATTACAATCAGCTAGGATTACTCACGATAAGATTAAAAAAATTCCTTTAGGTTAGACTATTAGCGAACTCTGTTGATTACGTAGTTAGATTTTTTTTAAATTAACAGCCTTCGCTCTTTTTCTCTTGCATTAAGTTAATTATGAAAATTTTTTAACTATTGGAAATGCGGCTTTTCAAATCTGTTTTATTTTCCTGGATTTAGTTTCAGCTGGCTTATTTATTGAAGTTTTACATAGGTTAAGTTATGAACTAAAGTGTTTTGGTTAGAGCTTGTTTTTTTCTTCTTGTTGTAAACTTTACTTTTGGAGCCTTTTAGGTTTAAAGATGATACCTCTGCTTTTACACATCTAATTGGTTGTGTCACTCTTTCATTCCTTTTTGTTTGTAATCTTATAATGTATTTTCTTTCGCGAATTACTTTGTCAAAGAAACTGACAACTGTTGATGCATTTTTTCAGAAAAACCGGTGATGACGGCATTTGAAGAACTTGGTGTTTTACCTGAATTAGGGCAAGCAGTGGACGAAATGGGTTGGACGTAAGTTTCTTCAGTAGCGGGTTTTCGTTTATTCAATAATAAAGATATTCTGTTTTTGAATTTCAATCTACTTTGCGCAGTTCAAAATCTTACTTTAGAAAAGTGACCTACGTCCTCATTAATTTTACTATTTTTGAAGCAGGGGATGAGAGCGGGGGTTGGGTGCTACAGAGCAGATACCAGTCACCCCGTCACCCCTTTGGTTAATTGTAAAGGAAAAGTTTACAGCTACCCAGGTATTTTCTCCATTTCCTTCATTTTCTTTTAGGCTACCATCTGATATTCAAGCGGAGGGCATTCCAGCGATTTTAGGCGGTGGGGATGTCTTAATGGTAATACCTTCTCGAAAAAATTGTTTACAATTATGCTGTTCCTTTTTTTTTCGCTTCAAATTAGAAATAGTGGTTTTTTTAAACCGCCTTGCTACCTTTGATGTTGTTATTTTTTTACATAAATGAGCCTTTATAAATTTGAAAAATTTCTAGGCTGCGGAGACTGGCAGTGGCAAAACTGGAGCGTTTTGTTTGCCTGTTTTACAAATTGTTTGGGAAACGTTAAGGGACCAGATGACCGGAAAGAATAGTGGGAAAAAGCATAGTTCGGCTGCAGGTGTAAAAGAGCTGCTTTAAAGTTTACTTTTTACTGGTTTTGTGTTTTTGAAATTCTCATCTTAGGAAGTTTTTAAACTCCAATTTTTTTGTATTAATGGTTTTTAGATATCCGATTTTAGATAAAAAGTGGGTTTTGAATCCTTATGATAGAGACGACAGCTTAGCAATTGATCCTGACGGTTTACTGTGTCAAAGTCGTGAACCACAAAAATGGCAGGGTGCAAGGTGCAACCATGGTGTATTCGGAAAAGGCGAGCACATTTATAAAACCTGCATCTTTTTAGAAATGGATTATAGGGGGTTGTAACAGTGAATATTTTTGTATTTTTAATTACTTTTTTCTTTCAGCTCCTTGAGAGGGAAAAAGCAATTAGAAATATATTTGTTTGGTCGACTTGTTTTTGTTTTCTGCTGTGTTTATTAATTTATAATTTATAAGTTTTGACAGCTAAAGAGCACCTCAGTTATATTTTTAGTATTCCTGTCTTTAGATTGTTATTGAGGCTAAAAGTAAACTTAGCCTTCTGATGTTGGCAAATTAGATACAAATGTTAAGAAGAGTATGCAATTGTTACAGTCACAAAACTGAAAAGAGAGTGAACAGATGTTTTGGTTTATTCTTTATAAAAGTCTGCTGTGTTTCATTCTGAACGGCGAGACTTTCCTATACTCGAAAAATACGATTTTTAGGAAAATATTATTACGAAGGAACAGTGACTGATGATGGGCTATGCAGGTTGGGATGGTCAACCGAGGGGGCATCTCTCGATTTAGGTAAAAATGAGTCTTTTAAGTTATTTAGATCTATTTTTTCGATGAATGTGGTGTTGTCTACAGGAACCGATAAATACGGTTTTGGTTATGGCGGGACGGGGAAAAAAAGCAACTGCAAAAAGTTTGATAATTATGGAACGTCATTTACCTTGGGCGATACAATCGGATGTATGTTGGACTTGGATTCGGGTCATATTGGTTTCTCGAAGAATGGACAGAATTTAGGAAAAGCGTTTGACATTCCTGCACAGTTGAAAAACTCAGCGTTTTATCCTGCAGTAGTACTAAAGGCAACGTTTTTTTTTCTTGCTACCTTCAAGTTTCTCACGGAAAGTTGATTCTGTTGTAAGTGCTGTTAGCAGAAACATTTAGAAATACTGCATTGTCTCAGTTTTTTTAGAATGCAGAAATACGGTTTAATTACGGGAGCACTGACTTGAAATTTCTTCCTAAGGTAAGTTTTGAAATTGCACAGAGATAAGATTTGTTTTACCGCATCTATCACAGATTTTAAATGAGTTTCGCAATTTTTTAATTCAAAAATCGATTTTTCAGGGTTATGTAGGTGTTAGTAGTGCAGATGAAGGTAATGTGGTTAAGCCTTCCCAAGGGTTTTCTTCAGCAAATGTTAAAAAAAGACCAGAGCCTAATGCTCCAGCTTGTATCATAATAGAGCCCACAAAGGAGCTGGCTGAACAAACTAATCAACAGATTGAAATTTTTAAAAAAAATTTAAAAAACCCTGCAGTCAGGTGAGTTTAAACATTAAAATTGTTTTGTTCAGCCTCTTAAGTCTTCAATTCACCTAGTGTCTTTTTTTAGTTTCTTCTGAACGTCACTTTTCTTATTTTCTAGTATTATGTTAGCCTTCCATTTAGGATTAGATGTAATTGTAGGAATACAGTCGTTGTTGGAAGCATTCCAGTTTCTGAACAGATCAGAAATATTTCTGCTGGTGTTGATATTATAACATGCACTCCAGGAAGACTGCTGGATTTTGTTCAGACAGAAAAAATATTGGTCTCAAACTGTAGATTCTTTATATTGGATGAAGCGGTTGGAACTTTTTAATATCGTTTGAAGTGTTTTACATTTTCAATTGATGCTCTATTACAACAAATTGCTGTTAGTAGATCTGTTTTCTTATCCACAGTATTTAGAAAAAATTAAGCTTTCCAAAGTAAATAAGATTTTTCTTCTCTTTTGAGGAAAAAGTTTAGGACAACTTAATGTCTTTTTAGGACTCTTTAGTCTCTGCAAAGAATCATTTATCTACCATAGAACGACTGTATTCTTTACTTCCCAAAATTACTCCTGATGGGACACGATTGCAGATGATAGTTTGTTCGGCTACACTACATAATTTTGATGTCAAGAAACTTGCAGTATGTTTCTTTTAGGGGCCTTCAATTTATCTCATCTGATATCTAATTTGGTTTTGGATTTTTCCAGGATAAGATGATGCACTTTCCGCAATGGGTAGATTTGAAAGGACAGGACTCAGTTCCAGACACAGTGCACCATGTGGTGTGCAAGGTTGATGCCAAGCAAGATAAGATGTGGATAAGGTCAAGGCAGCAGAGGAGGGTTCAAGTGAGTGCCGAACAAGCGACATTGAATGTTGCAGGGTAATATAAGATTGTGAGCATTTTTTTAAGACAGATGGCATACATTTCAATGACGATATTCGACCCGGTAGTGAAACGCCAGAAACGTTATCGGAAGGAACGAAAATTCTCAAAGCTGAATATCTGTTGAAGGTTAAGTTGTTTCGTTTTTGAGAATGATCGCGCTTTTTTTTTTTTTTTTTTTTTT